AGTGTTTCAGTAGAAGGGGGTGTTAAACCTCCCTGTGTGCGTTGAAGGAGTGTGAGTTAAATCCCCTTGTGCTGGGAGGCTTTGAAGGGTTGTTCTCTGTGGGATGATTTCCAGGCAGGGCTCAGCAAGGAGGGTGTGCTGGAGAAAGGAGCTTTTCCTAACTCAGTGCTATTCCTGCCTGGGCTCCTTTCCCAGAGGGGTCTGTGAGGTGCAATCACCCCCTATCTATCAATCAGTGTCTGCAGGGGGGAGGTGCTGGTGTTCCCATTCCTCCCCAGAGAGCTGTCCCAGGAGTTCAATATAAATTGCTCTGAGCTGCTTTCATTCGATCCAGGCAGCTCTTCCCACCCCCAGACCTGGCAGGTGAGTGCTCAGAGAGCAGCTTCTCCCCCAGAGACACAAGTCCTGCAGCTGAGACACGACCCCAAAACACTCTAACCCTGCAGGGCCGTGCTGACCCCAAAGGAAACCAGTCCCCTTTCTGGAGGCTCCTTCCCTGCTTTGTCTCCACGTGGGGCAGTTGAACATGGATTGGCTGGTTCCCTTCAGCCAAAGATGTTGTCAGACCACTTCCATCTGTCCTCCCAAGTCCTGACTGCTCCCTGCTGATATTTGGGAAGCAACTTCACTGTTCCCTGGGAAGAACTGGTTCCCTCTTGCCGCATTCTCCTGCAAACCTGCCCAGGGCCAGCCCCAGGAACCCACGTTTTCCACTCACATTGTCTTTTCAGCCACAGCAGAACTGGGCTAGAAAAAGGCAGAAGAGGTACCCAGGGTTTACTGATCTTCCTGAAGTATTTTTGGAGCAAAAGGCATCTTTTTCAGTCTTCTGAGCCGTTAACTGGAGACAAACGAACTTCCCACCTAACCCTGCTCTCCGTCAGTCTGAAGCCATTCCCCCCTGTCCTGTCACTCCAGGCCCTTGTTCAAAGCCCCCTCAAGTCCCCTTCATGTTCTGGAGCCAAACCACAGTTCAGCACCCTCAGAGGGAGGTTTGCAACACGGCTGTGCAGCATCTCTGGGGGGTTTGACTTCTGCTGAGGCCCAGGAATGAAGCAGCAGGTCGGACACCCCAGAGCAGGGTGTCATCCCCAGCAGAGCCTGCGGGGCTGGTTGGTTGGGCTGACCTTTGAGATGCAGGGAAACGTTTCCTCCTTGAACTGCTCTGCAGGGATAATGACTTTTGGAATGGATTTCCTGTTCTTTTTATAGACCAGGGGAAGCTGGCAGGTCACATCCAAGCTGGCTTTACTGAGAGCTGGGCATGGTTATGTTTGCTGGAAAACCTGATCTTCCCTTTAACCATGTTTTCCTTTGGTCTGATCTGAAGCATCACGTTGAGATTCAGGAAAAAATGCTTCAGTGGGAGCAAAGAGGAATATTGGGTAGCGTAAACAGTGATTTGTGGGTGCATGGGAGCAGCCCCAAGACCTGAACTGCCCTGTGTTCTGATCAAAGGTCCAGCGATGACTCCAGCAGTGGCAGGAGGAGACAGCACGTGAGCCCAGTCCCTCCTGGCATCTGCAGCACCCACCACTGTTATGCCACAGTTAGAGGGCACACTCTTCTCTCTTGCTTCTGCTGTCTCCTCCTCTATCTCTTGTCCATAAAAGCACTGTGAACCCATGGATACTCCCTGCCTGCCTCCCACATCCTGGGGAGGCAGAGATTCACTGGGGCAGGGATTCACTTCTCATCAGCCCTGTGGGGTTTTCCTGGGCCACAGCAGGACAAGCATTTTATGTCAGCTCCTGATGAAGCCCTTGTGAACAGCCTTCAGGACACCCTGCACCTCTGTTTCCCTGACTTGCTGCAGCTCATTTCAAGGGAGTGATGGAATTCCCAGCGCTGGGAGCACTGATTCAAAGTCCACCCACCTTCCCAGCAGTGACCAGGCATTTACACCCCGTGTAACGAAGTGGAGAGTTCCCACTCTGTTCCTGGACTTCAATCTGCACTTATCTCCAAGCTGTTAATCTGACTTTCCTTTCAATTACCATTCCTCTCCCTTCCCCTCCCTGTCCCACCACAGATCTGGGCAGCCAGTGGTAAAATCCATCTGATAAATCCTGTCCTCAGCTGATCCCTGGGCTATGTCCTTTACCATCACCTGGGCATCTCCATCCTCTTGCCAGGCACCTTCCTGTGCCACCCTGGTGCTGCTCCCACCTCCAGAGGTGTCCACTGAGCCCCCCAGCCCTGAGATCCTCCCCCAGCACATGGGGACAGCCCCAGGACAAACCTGCAGCCCTCTCTTCATCTCCCTCTGTCCCAAGTGAGTCCCTCCCTGCCCAGAGGGTCCCACCCCCTCACCTGCCCCAGACCCCTCACCCCCCCAGCCTCCCCTCCCTCCCCACAGGCACAGAGCAAAGAGGAGACCAGAGCAGCCACGTGCAAGTCCCTTGGGAAATTTTTCCTTTAATGAAACCTAATATTCCTGTTATAAATGACCAGCCTGGAATCCAATTAAATCCTTGGTCTCAATGACTTCTTATCATATTAACATTTCACTGACCATGTCCCCATCCCTGGCCACGAGGCACAGAGAGCAGGACCCCTGTTCCCTCTCTCCAGGCCTCTTGGGAGTTCTGTCACCTCCCTTTGGACAGCCAGCCCTGGCTGAACAGGCATTTCCAGGTGCCTCTTGCAGCCTGTGCAGCTTTAGGACTCCACCTGTGCCCAGATCTGCATCCAGCCAGGACCCTGGGGATGCTCTTCACACTGCTCCATGATTTTCCCCTCCCTAGTCCTGATGTCCAACTGTTTTTCTGGCTGCAGCTGCCCCTGAGCAGGAATTTTGGGTGAGTATCCTCTGGCCATGGCAGTGAAATCAGCAGAGGCTGCTGCTTTTGCCAGGGCAGGATTGGAAAAACTGGACCAACACAAGGGATGGCCGAGGAACAGAGGTTTGCTGGGTTTGGTGCCAGAACAAATACCTGGGACACGCCCAGACCTGGCCCTGGCTGGCTGGGACACACATCTGCACACCCAGGACACCAGGCTGAGCCTGGGGCAAAGGGTGTGTGCTCAAATCCTCCTAAAGCAGCTGTGCCAGCTGCCAGGGTGGGATGTGCCACCTCCAGCTCTGCCAGACTGGTGGAGGGGATCTCCAGGCACGTGGCACTGGCCAGCCCTGGTCACAGGCTGGGGGTAGCCTGGCAGCATGGCAGGGTGAGCCCCCTGTCAGCCAGGTTGTGGAAGCCCAAGAGCTTTGGGACGTGGGCATCTTGGACCATCCCTGCTGGCAGAAATGCTGATGTGGCACCAGTTTCAGAAATAAGGGAGTTCAACCTGAGTTTGCCAGCAGGAGGTTCCGTATTTCCCGAAGGAATCCACTCTCAGCCCTGAGCACAGCTCCCACAGCTACAGCTGGAGGGTCCTGGGTGGCAGAGGACACATCTCCCTGGTCACTGCCCTGCTGGCTGTCTGCTGATCTGGAGCTGCAGCCTCTGGGCCCCTCTGCCTCTGCTGTGTCTCCTGATGCTGTGCAGAGCTTCCAGCCTGTCTGGCAAATTAGGGAGCTGGCAGGAATTGTGGCTCCAGGAGGCTGCAGACACTGAGAGCTCAAACTGATCTGAAAAAAGGGGCAAGAGAGGAGGAGGTGGCTGTGTTGGCTCTACCAGTGGCTGTTAAACAGGGGTCTGAGCAGCCCCTGCCTTGGCTCTGAGCTGCAGTTAGCTGGGTGCCAACCAGGAGAAGGACTGTTGTCTGCACATCCCATTCCTTGTGCTTTCCTCCAGTGCTCCTTGGGAGCTGTTTCTAGATGGAGGATATTTGGTTAGAGGAAGCTGAGGGCTTACATGGCCTTCCTCTCATCAGCAGCTGAGGGAGGTTATCAAACCCTGTCTGTCTGAAACCAAACACATTCAGATTCTCCCCCTGCCAACCTCCCCACCCCCCACAGCATCTGGAAGAGCAGCAGGGATACCTCAGCTTCCCTGGGGAGGTGCAGACTACAAAGGGCAGCTTAGTGGGGTCTTCTCTTCTCTTTGCTTCTGAAGCACTGACCACGTTCTTACCCCACAGCAGGTGCCAGGGCCTTTGAGCTGTGCTGGGGGGGTCCCACCAGGCTGAGGATGCAGATGGGATCAGCACTTCTGGAGCATCAGCCTCTCATCAGTGCCTGAACCCAGAACTGGGAGCTGGACATTATGGGCCTATTTATATCAGCCCAGATCTCGCTGACCAGACTGAGCTCAGCTCTTCAGACTGAGGGTTTCTATTCCAAATTTGTCTTTTAAAGTAAATCCAGCTTGCTGAAAATACAGAATGAAACCAAATCCATGCAGGAAGGATCTGTGAATTGGGTGAATTGTCTCAGGCACTCATTTATTAAAGGCAGGGTGGAGGTAGCAAACACGTCTCTCTTGCTTGTGGTCCAGTTCTGGTGGCACCAACAGGCTGATGGTCGGGGTTCATGGGTGGCTCTGGCAGTCACCACCAGTGCAGATGGACAGATGATGTCAGACAGCTCTGGCCCTGCAGGCCTGGGGGAACAGCCTTCCTTAAACACCCAGAACATGATGGTTGTGATGCTGCTCCTCACTCTGACCCTTTGGAGCAAGAAATACAGCCTGGGAATGCCCCATGCCGAGCACGGAGTGAGCTCCAGTGGCCCAGCAGTCGCTGTGACAGGTCAGCAGAAGTGCAAGAAGGACATTGAGGGGCTGGAGGGTGTGCAGAGAAGGGCAACAGGGAAAGGGCTGGAGCAGCAGGAGCAGCTGAGGGAGCTGGGGGGGCTCAGCCTGGAGAAAAGGAGGCTCAGGGGGGACAACTCTCTACAATTTCCTGACAGGAGAGTGTGGGCAGGTGGGGGTCAGGAAGTGACAGGACAAGAGGAAACGGCCTCAAGTTGCACCAGGGGAAGTTCAGGTTGGACATCAGGAGGAGAGAGGGTGGTCAGACATTGGCAGGGGCTGCCCAGGGAGGTTTGGAGTCCCCACCCCTGGAGGTGTCCAAGGCAGGCCTGGCCGTGGCACTCAGTGCTCTGGGCTGGGGACAGGGTGGATCCATGGGCTGGGAGGTCTTTTCCAACCTCAGCAATTCTGTAATTCTAGGAATGACAGGAATGTTCTGGCCATGGGCATCACGTCTGGTCCTCCTAAGCTTTGGTGATGTGTTCTGCCCATTGTGGTGGCCTCTTCTGATACAAAGTGATCTGGAACTGTGTTGTCCTGCTTCTCCTCTCCACTGCCTCTGGATGAACCACATCTGGCCTCTCAGCTTCTCCACCCAAACTGCAGTTTGCAGCAATGTTCACACCAGCCTGGCTCACACTCTGCAGTCAGATGGCTCCTCTCTGCTGATGTATCTTGCAGAAGCTTCTGGGGTTACCCAGGTAACTCTGGAGCTTTGCTTTAGCCCAGGTAACTTTGGAGCTTTGCTTTAGCCACCATGTGCTGTTGGGTCACTCATTGACCCAATGACACAGAGAGCTTGGAACTGCCTTGCTGGGCTCAGCTGGAAGATCCTGCTCCCTTTTTTTCTGACGTTCCTTGGATGAAATACAAAGTTCATTTTCACACTGGAGACCATGTAGGGAAGAGACTTACTGGGATGAAATCCTCTAGGAGAGTACAAGAACATGTTTCTTTTTATGGCTAATCAGCACAGTTTGGTAGATGGGAGGGGAACCTTCCCAGGAAGGTCCTGGGCTGCTCTCAGCGGTTAAAGAAGAAGGACTTGAGGCTCTGTAGGAACTGTGACTTCTGTCTCTGCTTCTGCTTCTTCCTGATGATGGGGATCCACACAAGGCCACAGACGAGGAGCATCAGCCCCAGGGACAGGAAAGCCGGGCCAGACATTTTGTAAATGTTTTTCTCGTCCTTCAGGAAGCAGGACAGACCGATGATGACTGTCCCGAAGAGGAAGATGGCTGCTCCAACAGACAGCACGATCACAGGCTTGTGGTAGATCTCCCACTTGCTCCTGGAGGCGCTGGTCCAGACGGACTCGCTGCGGGAGCTCATGCAGAGGGTGCTCCCCGTGCGGCTGGTGATCAGCTCCCTGGAAGGAGGAGACCTCTCGCTCCCATCAGGGCTCTTGGGGGGCATTTCCACGGTGGTGGGGTCTGAGGAGGTGACCTGTGATGGACAGAAGAGAAAACAGAGCCGGGCATGTGATGGAGGATGGAGGTGCTTCCCATTTGGTCAGCAGCGAGTGCAGCTCAGAGGAAGTGGAGGAGGTTTTGTGGGTCAGTGCAGGGAACGAGGGGCATCAGACCTGGGAGAGCAATGGAATGCAGGAACTGGCAATGGGGAGCTGCAGGTAGGCTGGACAGAAGATGCCTGTGAAGTCCCACTGCCCACCTATGGATAGTGGGACTCCTGCAGTGCCTGACCCTGTTCTTACACCTTCTAACCTTCCAGCTCCCACAGGGATTCCGTGGTGGAACCCACGACCTTGAACTTCCCAGGGCTCCTGGAGGGTGCTGCAGGCAGGGCTGGTGATGCTGGCTCTGTCCTTGGACCTGCCTTCCCTCTCAGATCCCAAAATACAGCTCACACCTCGTGACATGGTCGTGTGTCCATTTTGCCGGTGGAGAAGCTGAGACACGGGAGTGTCACGTCAGGAACACTCTGTGGGACAGCAGAAAGCCCCTTCCCATGGGCTGAAGGTTCCTTCAGGCCCCCAGGGCTGGATGTTCCTCACTGCCACATCCAGCCTTGCCACAGCTGCAGCACAGGAGCTTCTCACTTCTACCTAAATGCTCTGATGGGAGGTGGGAAGTGCTGGTCCCACAGGACTTGTTCCTCCAGCTGTGAGCTGGGGCAGGTGCTGTGGGAGGGCTCCAGAGCTGGGCAGGACACTGAACTGCCCTGCCCTGTGACAGCTGGCTCAGCACTGTGGCTTCTGGCACATTAGTTTTTCATCAGCTCAGGGGGTAAATACAATTTCACAGAAATAAAGTGCCTTTAGCACTGAGAAAACACTGTGGTAAATGGGAAGTGCTGAGCATTGTGTCCCCACTGTTTGCTCAGGGCTATGCTGAGGACACTGCAGGGGTCTGGACTGGGAAGTGTTCCTGCTGCTGGGCAGCCCAGCAGGGATGAGCTGGTGCAGATGGCAGGGCTGAGGAGGGCAGGAGAGGGACGTGGACGCCTCACACCCAGGAATCAGAGCTGGTTTTGCAAAGCAAACCCCTGTCTGAGCTGCCAGGTTCCCTCCCAGGGGCTCAGTGGAGTCAGGAGGGCTGGGACTGCCCTACCCTGTCCTCTGCTGTGCCCATCCCTGGGGCAAAGGGGTGCTCTGCAAGAGCCTGGAGCATCTCCCTTGTGCCAGCAGCACCGAGCAGAGCCTGCTGGTTGCTGCCAAGCCCCAGCTGTCCCCATGGGGCTCCTCTGTGCTCCCCTCCACGCTGGCCTGGGCACAGGACCCCAGTGGGGCTCTGTGCCCGCTGCACTGCCAAGCACAGCTCCCCCTGAGCACAGCACAAGTGGGCTGGATCCTGAGCAGGTGATTTCATACCCTGCTTTGGGCCTTGTATGTGTGTGTCTGCTCAGCCCAGCCCTGCTGCTGGCCCGTGGGGTGGCCCTGCAGGAGCTTCACACCACGGCTGATCCCAGGCTGGGTGTGCACCCTGCCTGTGGCTGCAGCAGGTGTGGAGGGGCAGCCCCAGCTCTGTTCCCGTTGCTGCTGGTCAGTGTGAGAGCAAACACCACCTCAGTGCAGCCACACAGGGCTGGCACAGCTCCAGAGGAAACATCTGAAGGAAACCTGCCCATATTCCAACCCTACTGGGCCCAGTGCCCGTCTGTGGATGCTGATGGCTGGGTGTCAGCCAGCACCTCCCTTGCTCTTTCACTGTGGCCCTATCAAGGTTTGTGGCTCACCTTGAGAAGAGACAGATGTAATTTTTCGATTTAGTCCCCCCCAGCACAGACAGATCTGGTGACCCAGCTGTCACAGGGCAGGGCATTCCAGTGTCCTGCTGCTGCCCAGCCCAGGAGCCCTCCCACAGCACCTGCCCCCACTCACAGCTGGAGAAACAACTGGGGCCCCATCCCCACCCTGTGCCCCATCCCCACCCTGTCCCCCAGCCCAGAGCACTGAGTGCCACGGCCAGGCCTGCCTTGGGCACCTCCAGGGGTGGGCACTCCAAACCTCCCCGGGCAGCCCCTGCCAAGCCCTGACCACCCTTTCCAGGGAGAAATTCCTCCTGATGTCCCCCCTGCCCCTCTCCTGGCACAGCTGGAGGCCGTTCCTTCTCCTCCTGTCCCTGTTCCCTGGGAGCAGAGCCCGACCCCCCCCGGCTCCCCCCTCCTGTCAGGGATTGCAGAGCCAGAAGGTCCCCCCTGAGCCTCCTTTTCTCCAGGCTGAGCCCCCCCAGCTCCCTCAGCCCCTCCTGCTGCTCCAGCCCCTTCCCAGCTCCGTTGCCCTAAATACATGATGTGTCTTCTACAGCCCTTGATCAGGGATCACCAAGGACTTGACAAGGTGGGTAAATTTGGTCGTAGTAGCAAGTTGTGGTGTCTGTTTTTCTTCCTTTTGAGCTGCTAATCCCATCTCTGCAAGCTGGACTATAGCAGCTCCTCCTTTACCAGTGCAAATCCTCCTCTTCTAATGTCAATCAGACTCCTCCTGAAATGTCACCCCGGGGTGCTGTGGCATTCTGTGCCTTTGTCCTTGTAACATCTGTCATGGAGAGGTTTTATGATCAAGCCACGGTACAATTTTAATTTGGCTCTGCGGTTGGAATTTGCTTTATTCCCTGGAATAATCCCCAGATCTCACACCTCAGCAGTCGAATCCAGGCTGTCCTGTCCCATATTTAGGCACCTCACTCCCTGCTCGCCCATGGGCCATGCCCTTCCTCTGCATCCAGGGGTGCTCTGAGCTCTGCAAAGCACCTTCCTGTGCCTTGTGAAGGGAGATAATGTCAGGCTGCTGCAGGATCCATCACCTCCCTTTCAGCTTTCCATTTCCTCCAGAGTGGATTTATTCCCTCCTTTTATTTTCTGGCAAAGCCACCCTTCTCACCACAATTCCCAGACAATGCTCATTTTTCCAGCACTTCCTGGTAGAGCATCCTTTTTCGGTCACACTTTTCCCATTGTTGGCTGGGGAAGGATTTCACTCCCTGCCAGTGCCTGGGAGCTCGTTTGGAAGCACTGAAAGGATCTGCAGCTCTTGGGAGAGTTAATGCAATTCCAGTTCCTGCCTTGCCCGTGCTCCATCCCTAATTCATCCCAGATGTGCTCAGATTTGATGGCTGGCCTGAGCAGCCTGGCAGCAAAGTGCTCTCAGATTTCTCCCAGTTTTTTTAAGCACTGTTGTTGGAAGGAGAGAATCAGCAGATGACTCTTTGCTGTCCTATCTCAGATTTCACAGCTGGTGTGTCTGCTGTGCTTCTGAAGCCCTGGCAGCTCCTGGAGCTGGAGGTAACACCGGGATCTTTCCTTCCCCGCTCCATCGGGAAGAGCCTCACGTGGTTCTATTTCTGCCCCCTTTGCTCTTCCAGTGCTTTGTGTGGTGATGTTTGGTTTCTGAACTGGGAAATCTGGGGGTCCTGTTGGCTGGTGCTGCTGGGGACCCCAATGCCAAAGCACAGCACACCCCTGGGTACCACCTTGGGGACATTGGGGACATTCTGTGGTGGTGCTGAGGGGGAGCTTTGGGCTGAGCAGAGCCCACAAGGGCTCTGTCCCAGGTCCCTCAGCCCATCCCACACATGGCATTCCTCACCTGCCAGCCCCCAGGAGCAGTTCTCAGCCCTGACATCCCAGCCAGGACCTGGGATGCTGGGAAGGACCTGCAGATGTGACCAGAGCTGTGCCAAAAGTGGGGCATAAGCCCCATATGAAGACTCTGTCCCTGTGCACAGCCCTGAGCCATCCCAGCCATGCAAGAGCTGGATTTACTCCCCCAGTCCAATCTTCAGCCTGGCCACCTCCTCTTCATTTGGGGAGGCAGCCCTGGTTCTTCAGCAGCTCCTCCATCTCCTCATAAATCCTCACTGCAGCAGTTTCTGCCACTTCCTCATCCCACTGTGCATGGCTGGGCACACCAGAGCTCCCTCAGGGACTTGTGTCCACCTGCATCTTCCTCATGGAGAGCCCTCTCAGTATCCCAAAGTGGAGCTGAGCTGGTCTTTGCCCTGGCACTAAGCAGGTGCCATCCTGTGTGGACCTGCCCTGGTGCAGAGCTGTGGGTGCTGCTGGGATGCAGAAAGGCTCCAGCTCTTGTCCTGTGTTCCACCACCTAAACCACTGAGGGAAAAGCCCAGGATTTTGCAAACCAACCATCAGATATTGCTGCAAATCCAGGCCCATTTTAGGGATAGATTTTGCTGCTTTCTCTGCTGTCAAGCCACTGCCCTGAATAAAGTTCCTCACTCCACCAAGCAGCAGCAGAAACTCCTCTCCCAAACCAGGGTTCCCTCCAGCCCCACTCTGGGAATCAACAGCCTCAGAAAAGAAAATTTTGAGGAAACCCAAAGTAAGCTGAGCACTCCTTGGCTTGCCCTGATTCCCACTGGGGAGAACCAAAGAGGCCAACCTGGACTGAGGGCCAGGCTTTTCCTGAGGGCTCAGACCCTGCCAGCTGTCCCCAAGAAGACAAAGCCAGTGAGCCCTGGCACCAGTGCCCCAAAATTGGTGGGTTTGGGTGGGTGGCAGCTCCAGTGCTGTGGAGAGGTCGGGTGGAAGTCACCTGGACACAGGTGTGCACACACTTCCCTCCCCAGCTGTCCAAGCTCCAGCTGGTGCCCCACAGAGAGGGACCCCCAGACCCTCCCCCTTGCTCCACAGCTCTCCAGGGCTTCCAGTGGCCTCCTGATGGCTTGTGATGGTCTCCTGTCAATCAGCAGCATCAGGTGCTCTGCAGCAAAGCCTTGGGGAAAGACCCAAAGGGTTTGTTTGTCCTTCAGGCAGATGTGCCCAGTCTGCCACCCTAATGGGGCAGCAAAGCCCTCACTGGTGGGTCCCAGCTGGAGGGAAACTGGGGAATGGAGGAAAACCAAGATGTGCTTTTTTGGGGCGTGGCTTTTCCTGCTGCTCTGGATGGTCTCAGCCAGACTCTTTAATCAGTACTGATGTTCAAGCTCAGCACAGAGCCCCTGAGGTGACACTCATGGTCTGTGTGTGCCAGGAGCAGGGGTTTGGTGCTCTGGGGGATCCCTGGGATGGGTGGGGAGGGGGGTGGCTGCACTGAAGGACACGTGCACACATACATACTCAGCGGAAACTTTTTGTTGGATGTCAGTGCTGCCAAATTTAACGGAGAGTGGCTGTCAGTCAGGTCCATTCAGTGACCCAGCACACCCGAGGGTGGAGATGGGGACCTGTCCTGCCCGGTGCTGCCCCGTGAAGAGCATCCCCACAGCCCCAGATCTGCCTGGGGTACCTGCACACGGGGAGGGGCTGGGGGCAAACAGCTCCCAGGTCCTGTGCCAGGGCAGGGGAGCCCCACGAGGGACAGAGTGTTGAGCCCATCCCCATCCCCATGTTGTGCCTCTCTGAGCCCACTCACCCTGCTGTGCCCCCCTGAGCCCACTCCCCACACAATGTCTCCCTGAGCCCACTCTCCACGCTGTGCCCACTCCCCACGCCGTGTCTCTGCTCCCACTCGCCCTGCTGTGCCCCCCTGACCCCACTCACCATGCTGTGCCCGTGTCCTGGCTGTCACTGGGGTGTCCTGGCTGGCTGTGGAAGGGCAGGTGGCCCCTTGCCCTCACCATGCCCTGGGCACTCCACAGAGGGACCCGACCAGCAGCTCCTGCGGGCACAAGAGCAGCAGTTCAGAGCACCCAGCTGTGCCCCCACTGCCAGCTCCAGCAGGCTCTGCCCTGGGGGAGGGCAGGGACACTGTGCTGGTGCCAGGGATGTGCTAAAGCCCCCTGTCCCTGCCCTCCTGGAGGAGGAGGGGCTGGTGCTGCTCCGACACCCAGCGTGGGGATACGAGGCAACAGATCCGGGGGTTTCACGTCACCTACAACCCCACTGGGTCTCAGGTGTAAATTAAGTGTCCATCTGCTGCTGAAGTAAGTGCAGCTGGGCTGGGCCCAGGCCCCTGCATGCACAGGAGCAGCTTTCCAGCATCACACAGAGTTTGGATGGTCCCAGCAGCACATCCAGGGACGTGCAGAGTGAACAACACCCGCAGGTCCTTTTAGGGGCTCAGTGAAAAGATGACCCCCAGTGCTGGATCCCCTCTGCCTTTCCACCACCCCCAGAGCCAAACCCATGGAAACCCATCTACTTACGTGGTGAGCAGTAAGGGCTGGCTGCAGCAGGAGCTCTCCCTCTCCAAAGGCAGGCTCATCCCAAGCCCCACATCCCTCTGGGTGTTGTCTACTGGGCTCTGTTGAGTCTCATAAACAATGGAGCATCCCAGCTCCGATGATCTCACCAGCCTATCAGTATATTGCTTAACTCCTTCTTTCCCTGCCTCTGCCTCCTTGAGAGCTTCCCTGGGAGGCTTGGCTAAAAGGCTGTGGTTTGGGAGGCAGGCCAGTGGTGTGGCAGGAGAGGCAGGGTGGGTTGGTGCCTGGAGCAGGAATCCAGAACTTGGGGCTGATGCTGATCCAGGCTGGGATCATCAGCAAGTTCCTGGAATGTCTCTGAACTGCAATTTGTGCCCTCTCAAAGCAGGGAATCAGAGCCAGCGACTGCAAAGTGCTTTGAAGCTCATCAGTGAGACATTAGAGGGATGCAGGATATTAGCAATTATCTATTAATTAACATCCTGAGTCCATTATTGGGATGGAAGAGAGAGCTGGCTCTGGAATACTGCCTCCTTTCAGGAACCCACAGCCAAACTTCAATCCCCTCTTACATCAGTGTGAATCCACTCGCTCAGGGAAGGGATCCAGCCTGGATTCCAGACACTGCTGGTGGCCAGGGCCTGGTTCCAGGGGTGGTGGGGCTGCCTCCATCC